ACAGACATTCTGGTTCTGAATATTTTAAGATAATCTGAAGATGATCTGTAGATTAGCAGAAGATGTCATAATCTCTTATGTCTTTTTCTATGTAGCAGACTAGTAAGAGAGTCTTTTCTTTTGTATCATCATATCTACTGCATGAATTATGGACTGTTCTGCTGGATATTTTGCTTTAAAAGTTTAGAACGACATTCTGTATCCTTGATATTTCCAATCTGCTATTTTCTTGAAGTGCATTGTCGTTAATTAGTATAAATATATTCTGATTCTTTCCCACTTTTTGCAGGAAAAATGTTACAAGCCAACATCCAGTGTGGATCAGTTGGCAATTCACTTTGCACTTGATGGGTAGGAGCTGTTGTTTTGAACTTTTAGACAGCATTAACTTAACCTGATTTGTGAAATTTCAAGCCTCATCATATAGGATATCAAATAAAAGATAACAGTTTGACTTCATCATCAATTCTGAGTCCTCCAACTGGGAAATGTATTACAAGTGTTACAAATGTATTTGAAACTGTTGTCAGTCACTTTTATTACATGTATAAGAAACGTGACTAATGGTTATATTAAATAGTTGGTTGCATGTAGTTATAAAAGTTTAAAAACCATAGTTTACTCAATAAATTATTGTGCAAGTTTTGGCAACGGACTGATAGAACATACACCTGTATTTTTAATTTGTAATTTTAGCAATATGCTTCATAAAGATTCAGATGAAGCCAGAAGACAGCGAGCAAGGCAGGGATTGGCAGAAGGTACCTGTGATTTTCTTCTAAGATTCATGTATTTTGTTGATATTCAAAAACTGAAATGTGATTGTAAACATAGTCTCTACAAACGTATTGATTGGTAGTCATATAATTTGAAAATAACTGCAGCATTAATGACAGCTAGAGGAATATATTTGTTACCCTGTCAAATAACCCAGTTTTTAGTGTTTAATTATATTTTTTTGGGAAATGAAAGTACTTTGTCACTATATTTTGTAGAAATAATAAAGGATATAAATTTACTTTTATTAAACATTAGCTGGATACAAGCATACCCTGTACGTGTAGTTGCACTAATTGGCACCTTGCACCTTGTAGTTGCACCTTTTCAGATAAACATTTATGCACATGTCTTA